CTTTCTGAGATATTTTTCTGCCTTTTCAACTGAGGGCAGGTAAATTCCTACTATATCTGCTGATTATTGGGTTACTAAATTCTCTTTAAGTAAACAAATGTCTTCCCTTGGAACTTCTAGTTGAAATATTCTCAGACACCAACATAACCAGGAAGTCCAAAATACATTGTAGCAGAGGCAGAGAGAGGAGCAAGACCACCCTTGCAGGCTTTGTGTAACCAAACGAAGAGTTTATTCACTGGAGAGCTCTCTGGCTATTTCCAACAATGGAGCCAGAGGCAAGCAGTGGAAGAGTAAAGCTTTTTAAAGTAGAGGTAGTTGTTGTTGGGGGAGGGAGGGTTACCAGGCTTTGATCCGAGTTTCCCCTCCTTAAAGGGCGGGATGGTATGGCCATGGACTGCAGTGCAGACTTTCTTGGACTTCCTGGAACTCTGCCAAGGCGGGAACTCTGGAAGGCTCTTCTTGCCTCCGAGAATTTGTCGCAAGGGCTTTTCCCGCCATGGCTAAGTTTCCCGCTGGGCGTGACGATCCTAATTCGCAGTTTCTTCAAAATTTATATGTGGCTCTACAACCAACGTGTGAATAGAACAAAAACAGATTATCTGTTAGGATAAGGGCTTAGCTAGGATCACAAGGAGCTCAAAGTACTGAAGAGCATGTGGCAGCTTCACAATGAACTCCAGAACCCTTTCCCTGGTTTTCTACTGGTTTCAGTGTGCATGCTCAGCACCAGCAGAATCACACGGTCGCTCTCTGACCTGGAAACTGAAGGCTATTTTCTCAGGGAAGTCCTGATGAAAGTCAGTAGAGCTGCTTCTACTTGTAAAAATGGTAAAGAGCAAGCACTAGTGCACCCCTGGAGGGTTCGCAGAGATTAGGGCAGACATCAAGGACTGGAAAGATTCAGGGGGAGTGATTCCCATCCAGCTGCCCATTCACTCACCTGCCTGGCCTGAGTAAAGAACAATGAGATCTAGGAGAATGAGAGTGGACCATCCTTGTTTCAGGAGATGGTGTTTCCAGTTGAGGCTGCTGTACCATATGTAATTTCATGGATTTGAGCAAATTCACACATGGTACATGCTGTAGTCACTGATCTGAAGAGTGTGTGTGTGCGTGTGTGATCTGAAGGGTGTGTGTGTGTGCGTGTGTGTTTTCTTGGTACTTGTTAAAGACCACAAAAAGAGCCAGGAATTTGGCTCAGTGGTGCCTCGGCCTGCCTCGCAAGTGCAAGGTCCTGAGTTCAATCCCTTGTACCAAAAACAAAAACAAAACAAACAAACAAAAACAAAAGACCACAAGAAGCACTTTGCTTTCTGCTGACATTCCTGACAACACACTGTCACCATCCTACCTTGGAGTATGTCTATTCCCCAACCCTTTTTAAAGTTTTGTCCACATAGAGCTTGGTTATTATTCCCTTGCACAAGACACCAAGCTGGTCTTTTACACTGATACTATTAAGGTCCTTAAACCTGGAAAGGAGAAGGTGATCACTTCTGTAAATGACTCGGGAAGGTGTTTATGTTTCAGAGTGTGGAAAATAAATCTCACAAACATTCTAGGGCTTTTCACCTTGGTGAAATTCTAGGAGCCCATGTTCAGGGACATGTTCAGATATTGCTTCAAAGGTGAAAGACAAGTTCTTACATCTGGCTCCTATTCTTACCAAAGAAAAGATGTGAAGTCAAGGAAGCACTTTTGGATATTGGAGGCAACTTGTGCCTCTCCTGAGTGTGTCCCTCTGGTCTATTTAACATTATGTTAGTCAGCTTCCATTGCTGTAAAAATTCCTGAGATAAGCTAAAAATAGGAAAGGTATATTTTGGTTCATAGCTTTAGAGGATTCACCCTGTGAATAATGACTCTCTTGCTTTGGGTCTGTGGCAGCAAATCATGGTGGTGAACACATGGTGGAACACACCTGCTCACTTCAGGTCAGCAAGGAGGGAGGGAGAGAGAGACAGAGAGAGACAGAGACACAGAAGCAGAGACAGAGGGACATAGAGAGAGACAGAGAATCTAAGGCCCCTGAAACAGATTCTGATCTCCTGCTCAGTGCTATACTGCAAGGTGAGAAGAAAACCTTTTTTTTTCCTTTTAACTACTAGATTTTGGAATGGCTTTTGTTTTTCTAAATTAAGTTTATTGGCACATTTTAGGCATACATAATGATCACATTTATCATAGGAAATTTGTACCTGTACATGGTATATCTTGGTTCTTATTTTTTTCCATTCCCTTTCCTTCCCTTTAACTCCTCCACCTCTTACTATTTACAAAAGCTTTGTTTCCATTTTTTCCTTTCCCTCTGCCCCTCCAATTCCCCTACTCATTTGAACATTTTCTTCCTTTTTTATGATACATATTATACATTTTGGTCCTCATTTACACTTTCAGTTTCTCACACCAGAAAAACAATGCACTATTTACACAAGTGTGTCCGATTTATTTCACCTAAGAGTATGGTCTCAAGGTGCATCCATTTACCTATAAATGTCTCAAGTTTATCCTTCTTTATGGCTGAGTAGTACTCCATTGTATTTTTTTAAAACCCACATCTTTTTATCCATTCATCCACTGATGGGTATTTAGGCTGTTTCCAAGATGTTGTTATTACAAATTCTACAGCTATAAACATGGGTGTGCATATGTTGCTGTGATGTGATGTTTTTAATCCTTTCAGGAAGATACCAAGGGGAATAGCTGGGTCAAATGGAACCACTAATATTAGTTTTTTCAGGAATGCAAGAAGAAAAACTTAAAAACCGAATTAAAGAGAGAAAGAAATGGGGAGCCAGGATGGCCAATGCTGAGCAAGCCCCAAAAGACCCTGGCTAGCCAAAGCTGCTGATATTTATTGGTGATATCATAGTTAAGTTAGGGTCATAGGGCTACGTGTAGTTTCTAGGAATACATTGCTGACACAGGCAAGGCTTGTAAGAGAAGAGACAAAGCATTCTTAATTTTGAGAACGGAATTTGGGAGCGAGTCACTCTGACCTCAGCTGCCATATTACCTAATCACATAGGCTTTGGTCTGAGTCACTTCTCAAAAAAAGCCAGTTGTGGGATTAACTCTTTACAGCCTGCACTGCTCACAGCCTGCTTTGGGCATAATCAGTGGAGGGGTCCCGCATTATGTGCCCGAGAAGACAGAACAGCATCCTCACAATCCCATTCAAGGGCACAAACCCAATGACCTAAAATCTCCCAGTAGATCCTACTTCCTTTTTTTATTTTGTTTTGTTTGTTTAGTTTTTTGATGCAGTGTCTTACTATGTAGTTCAGTCCTTGAATTTACCATGTAACCCAGCATGCTCTCAAATTTACAGCAATCCTCTTGCCTCATCCTCCCATGTGCCAGGATTACACCCATGTACCACCATGCCTGGCAAGACCCTACATTTTATAGGTTCCACCAGCTCCCGGTAGTTCCAAACTGAGGACCAGGCCCTTAACATGTTGACTTTGTAGGACATACCCATTGTATAATGTAGCACAAAATATTCTTAAATTTAAAAAGTTCATTTTGTGTGTGGCCTAGAACAAGAGAAGGCTTACTTGCAAAGAAATGACTAAAGTTTCTTTGTAAACTATATTTTATAGCCTGGTATGGTGGCATATGACTGTAATTCCAGCACTCAAGAGGTTGAGGCAGGATTTCTATTCTAGGTCTCTTCTGGTTCAAAATGAATTTTTGGATTGTTTTCTCTAGTTTTGTGAAATATACTGTTGGGATTTCAATTGGGATTGTATTGAATCTATATAGTGGTTTTGGAAGTATGGCCATTTTCACTATGTTGGTTCTTCCTGTCCAGGAACAGGGGATGTCTTTCCATTTTTTAATATCCTCTTTGATCTCTTTTTTTAGAGGACTGTAGTTTTCCATGTAGAGGTCTTTTGCTTCCTTTGTTAGATTGATTCCTAGATATTTCATTTTTTTGGATGCTATTGTGAAAGGAATTGTTTCCCTAATTTCTCTCTCAGTGACTCTGTTATTTGTGTACAAGAAGGCTATTGAGGGGCCAGGTTTTAGCTCAGTGGTTCCGCCACCTGCTTTGCAAGCACAGGGTCCTGAGTTTGATCCCCAGTACCAAAAATAAAGAAGAAGAAGGCTATTGATTTTTGAGTGTTGACCTGTATCCAGCTACTCTACCAAATTTGTCAATTAACTCTAGAAGTCTTTTGGTAGAGTTTTTTGGGTCTTCTATGTAGAGTATCATATCATCAGCAAATGATGACAGTTTAACTTCTTCCTTTCCTATCTTTATTCCTTTTATTTCTTTCTATTGTTTAACTGCTGTGGCTAATGTTTCCAGAACTATATTGAACAGGAGTGGTGGAGGAAGGATTTCTGTGAGTTCAAGGTCATCCTGGGCTACATAGTGAATTCAAGGCCAGCCTGAACTACATACCAAGACCATGTCTCAAAAAAACCCCCAAAATATATGTATATTTTATTACTGTCTATTAATGCTGCAAAATATTGGGTTTCAATATATATAATGTATTTTAACTATATCCACCCCATCACCCTCCCTCACTCATTTCTCCCATCCCCTTATTCCCTTCTTTTTGTCTAGTAATAGTCTCCCTCTGCTTTCTTATTATTTTCTTAGTTTCACATATTAGGAAGAAGGGGTGGTACTTGACCTCCTGAGTCTGGGTTATTTCACTTAACAAAAATAAAAATAGAGCTGGGCGTGGTACTGCAATCTTCTAATCCCAGCTTTTTTGGATTCCGAGTTAGGAGAATCACAAGTTCAAGTCCCACCTCAACAATTTAGCAAAACTTGTCTCAAAATGAAAAATATTTAAAGACACTAGGGGTGTAGCTCAGTGGTAGAATGCCTCTGGGTTTGATTTTCAATATTATAAAAACAAACAAACAAATGACTGTGTAATTTAGGGTGAGGTTTTGGGGGAAAGCCACAAAGTCACTAAAGGATTTATGATGGGGACAAAGACACACCAAGATTGAGAAGAGGATGAGGGTTTTGAGTCACGAGTTTTCAATCTCTGAGAGGTCAAAGGTCTGAAACCAGCTACATAGGGCCACATGGGGAGGTCAATCATGGAGCCCAGCAATGACTCTGCAATGACTCTGGAGACCAACACTCCCGCAAGCTATTCTGGTTGGTAATATCCTGTGTGTAACACACAGTACTGATGCTTGCAAAGCAACACTATCCTGACTGGAAGGTGACAATGCAGTGCAGGTCACCGAAGATGGGCAGGGTCTGTGAGATGTGTGTGCACGTGGACTGTCAGAGTGGAAGGGAAGAGTGTCTAAGAGCCAAGCTATGTGACAGAACAGTCTTAGTAAATCTCACCTGGTAGCACTGACATTAGGAAAGCCAAGCAGCTTAGTGTGGGGCTGAGATGCCACAAAGATGGTCTCTATTTCTTTCGCTGAGTCCTGCTGAGAATCAATGTCAATATTCTTCCAGAATAATTTCCTTTAGGGCCAAGAGCCTTAGCCCCCATTTCCCCTTGCCTTTGCCATTGGAGAAGTCAGAAAAACGTACACTTTCTGAACAAATTCTGCCTGGTGGGCAAAAGGCTCAGCCAGAGGCATGGAGGCTCAGTTTGAGACCTGCTCACCCCCTCACTGCATCACCCCTTTTGTGCAATTCTCTTCCCACTCCTTCCTCCTTGGAATCTAAAATTTTTGTTGCATCATCAACACAGGCCAGCAATCCAGGCATGGTTAAAACTGAGATTGTATCTGACAAGCAAACACTCATCCTGGTAGGAAACCTTCCTGAGAGTGGCTTGGAAACAGGAATGCAGCCAAAGGGCAGGACTTCCAGGACACTTTATAAACTGCAACCCCAAGAGAGTTGCACAGAAGATCTACCTTGGCACAGCCACCCAGAGGAAGACAACAATGGTGGAATTGCAGGTGAGTTAAAATGGCACTGGATGAAAGAAGGGGAAGCTCTTATGAGATGCACATATGAGCATTTCCATGGCACATGTTTTGCTGGCAGAGGTGCTTGTGTGGAACAGAGAGACCCTGGGGATGTGATGGGAGAGATCCTTATAGGGATGGCATGCTCCTGCAGGACCATGCTAATCCTGTATCAGCACTGGATTGTCAAGCTGATATAGCTGTGAGCTCCACTTAGATGATGCAGCATCCTTGGGAGGAGGTCAGCTAACCAGGATGTGTGACTATGAGAATGAGTGTAGAAGAAAGGCTATACAGTTGTTCTTCAGGACTGTGGCTGTGAGTGTGTACAGGGGTACTACTGGAGCAGTTACTAAGAAATAGTGCATAGCATAGTTAGCAGGAGTTGGGGAGTGTGTATTATTCAGTTGCAACTCAGCTGGACTCTGTGTGTGGGAGTGTGTGCATGTGTGTGTGTGTGTGTGTGTGTGTTTGCTAGGGATGGAACCCAGCACCTTGCACATGCTAAGTACAAGCTCTATCAGTGAGATACATCCCCAGGTCTCATTTTAACAGGTTCAGATGCCACAAAGTTATTGTGGGGTACTATTCCAGAAAGTGCCTTCCCCTTCCAATAGGTCAGCCCAGTACAGACCTTCTACATGTCAGTAATAAGGATTAAGATTTTATTAGGGCCGGGGATTTAGCTCAGTGGTTTCGTCGCCTGCTGCGCAAGAGCAAGGACCCAAGTTTGATCCCCGGTACCCCCCCACAAAAAAAAGATTTTATATTGCTCCAAGTCCTCTGGTGCTGATAACACTCTAAAGAGTAGGATTTTTTTTTTTTTTTTTTTTGGTACCAGGGATCAAACTTGTGTCCTTGTGCTTGCAAGACAGGCAGCGAAACCACTGAGCTAAATCCCCAGCCCAAGAGCAGGAATTTTTAAATGAATCCTTGCATTAGAGAAACTGATCACACTAAAGTAATGGATTTTCAATGTCACTACAAAATTTGAACACAGATAGCCTGGCTCTTCTGCCACTCTTCTGCCTCATCAAGGAGACTGGGGCCTGACTGTGGTGGGGTGGAAAGAAAGAAGAGCCAGAGTTTGACCTTTGGCCTCTAACCTATTGCCTCTAATCTGTTGGTCTCCCATCTCTCTTGGCGGATCACACCTACCTGGCCTGACATCTCTCATCCACTCTCAATCCCCACAATAGATCCCGTACTCACGGATTGTGTCCTTGCCTGTGGGTTCTACAGTGACGATCAGAGGCAAAGCTAACAACGCTTTCCGGTGAGTTCTGCATAGTGCATGAGTGGGGGTGCGTTAGAGATGAGGCTGTTACAGCTCAGGGGCTCCCGTCATGTCAGGGTGATGCTGATGTGTGTAATCAGCATGCTGGAGCCACATCCTAGGAGCAGGTCTGGAGATGCCCTCAGTACTAGGGGTATTTGCTGGGCTATGGTCAGATCTTGGTTCTGGGGTAGGAGACCACGCAGGTTGGGGTTGTGGCTCTATTTCAAGGGACACAGATTTCTCAGGGGATGCAAATCAATAGTCCTGGATCCAGAGCTGCTGCTCAGTGTTAGTGTTAGGGTAAAGACACAACACCTCACCACCAAGCCCTAAGGGACACAGATTTCAGTATCACCCAGGAAAGCCTTCCTTCCTTCCATCATTAGGACAATGTGGAAGGGATTTGTGCTGTGAGTGTGCATGTCTCAAGAAGGAAGGGACGTGTTCAACAAGCTATGTTCTTTGCTCTTCAGAAAGGAGCCACAAATGCAAGTGGATTTCCACACTGGCACTAGTGCGAAGTCTAACATCGCCTTCTCCTTCCAAGTGTACTTTGGCAAATTTGTGATAATGAACACTCTTCAGAATGAAGGCTGGGGAACTCATGAGAAATCCTTGAGTATGCCCTTTGAAGAAGACACACAATTTGAGCTGCACATCTTGGTACTGCAGAAGCACTACCAGGTGAGTCTCCCAGGCGGCCTTCATAGTCTCTCAGAGGGCTCAGCTCTCCCTGGCCTGGCCTCAAGAGTCCTTGTGGGTCCATCTTCTGTAACTTCTCCTGCCCCAAGTTTTCATCCCAGAGCAGGTCTGCTTGTCTGCATCCTGGGGTCTCCTCCAAATCTGACCAGGGTACGAACTTGGCTCACACTGCCATTTCCCTCCAGCATGGGTGAAGTCCTCTGTCTTCACCCACAACTGTCATTTCTGTGTCTGCTCTTATTGAACTTTTCAGGAGGCTACACAGTACAAAAATACATATGAATAAGATCGTATTAATCCTTCAAAAATCAAGTCTTCTTGTCACTCTTAAACCTCAATCCTTCTCCCCATAACAGCTGTTACTTGTTTCTTTACTCTCTGTCCTGAGATAATCTACAATTACAGCAGCATTGTGTGTCTCTGTTTGTGTGTGCATGCTTTCATTCATTGCTTTTTTTTTTGGTACCGGGGATCGAACTCAGGACCTTGCGCTTGCGCAGCAGGCGCCAGAACCACTGAGCTAAATCTCCGCCGCATTCATTGCTTTTTGAACAAACAATTGTATCTTTTTCTCTATACAATACACCTTGAGAAGTAGAATTTATTTTAAAAGTTTTTATTATTTTAGTTTATCAGTACATGTGTATAGGACATAATGCTTACATTGCCTGTGAGAAGTTGGTCCATGTACATAGCACATTTTAATTTCTTTTGTCATCTCCTTTCCCTTCCTCCATCCCCCTCCTCTATCCCATCTTCTTCCCTTTTTTTTTTCTTTTTGCGCAAGTTTGCAGTACATAATGTTTACATTCCTTGTCTGGAGTTCGTATTTGTTGTCAAAAATAAATCTTAGGAACAAATAGTTGAATAGTGGTTACCAGAGCCTAGGAATGATGCAAGGGAAGAGGAGGGTGGACAGAGGATGGGTAGTGGCCACAGGGTACAGTTGGATCAGCAGAATGACTATCGATGATTTCTAGCACAGTAAGATAATTACAGCTGGTGACAATGAATTTCCTGTCTCAAAATGGCTAGCAGTTTGAATATTCTCAACATTCAGAAATGATACATATCTAAAGTGATGAACATCAATACCCTGATCATTACAAATTCTATACACGTATTGAAATATCACATGGCACTCCCAAATATGTAACATTGTTACATATCAACTAAAACACAAATATAATTTTTAAAAGAATATGGCTTTTTGAAATGATTCCATCCATTGCCCTGTTCTTTAATGATCACAGTCTTCCAAAAGAGTTACAACTGGTTCAATTTGCCCCTTGATGGATAGACATTTAGGCTGTTTTTACTATTTTACTCTTCTAATGAACATGTCTCTATATAACTCATCATTATCATCATCCCAATTCCTTTACTTTTTGGAGTACTATTTTAAAGAATGGAATAGATGGGTCAAAACCTATGTGTGTTTTAAATTTGACAAATTAACACCTAAAAAATCTACACTGAATAGCCTCAGCAGTAAAGGAAATGCACAATTTTGTGCATGGTGGCACGTGACTGTAGTTGCACTACTTGGGAGGCTGAGGCAAGGATTGCCATATGTTGAAGGCCAGCTTGGGCTACACACTGAGTTCAAGACCAGCCTGAACTATATAGTGACAACCCTATCTAAAAATTTAAAATATGCACAATTTTGTGACCTCATTTCAGTAAACAAAATGATTGACATATTATAAAGATTAAGGTGGGAAGACTTTTCATGTGCTGCTTTTTTTTGTTTTGTACCAGGGATCAAATCTGAGACCTTTCGGTTGCAAGGCAGGCAGCAGAACTACTGAGCTAAATCCTGGCCCTCATGTGCTTCTTAACTGTTCACGATAATATCATAGTGTTTGAATCATCTGTGCTCATCTATCTCTTTGAGAACATTCAGGTTCCATTCTTCACCTCCACGAGTCCAAAACTGAGTACTCAAAAAAGAAACTGGAGCATCAGCAGCAATGGTAGTCAGGCTCTGTGGGACAGAATCTTGTGCATTCAGTCAGTGTGTATTGGGCTCTGACTGTGTGGCTGGTTCGAAGCAAAATACAAGGATTTGAGACTCCTGACATAGTCCCTGGCATTGGGATCTGCTAGGGTGGAAGAGAGACTGAGTAACATCAAGCAGTAGAACCTCACTGGAGGAAGAAAGGAAACAAAATAGAATGAGCAACTGTCTGAAAGGGTTAAAAAAAAAGGTAGCCTGGAAATAGAATCATAACCATTGGGTTCTGAGGTGTCATTAGGAGTTGTCTGAGTGCAAATAGAGGTGGTAGGGGAGAAGTAGGAAGGACTGCATGCTTGGCAGCATACTGCGTTTCTCACACACTTTCCCTTTGTAGGTTTCAGTAAATGGCAAACAGTGTTGCATCTTTGTCCATCGAATCCCAGTGAATTCTGTGCAGATGATACAGGTGTGGAGAGATGTCTCCCTGACCTCAGTGAATATCCAGGAGGGACCATACACACACTCCCCATTGTGAACGGTTTCTCTGTACATCACCGTGGTATACCCAATGCCCACGAACAATGATTCCACATTACCCTTTGGATGCAATTGGTCATTAAAACTTTACAAAACTTAGCAGGATCTGGCTCTTCTTTTATAGGGAAAGAAAAGAAATGGTCGTCACCAAGAGGCTTATGAGAATGAAAATTATGGGGGGGCGGGAGCGGGTAAGAGAATCCAAGTGGATAAATCTGGGCTGGTGTGTAGTTCAGTGGTACAGATATGACAGAGCATGCTGGAGTCCATGAGTTCAATCCCTGGCACCACAAAAATAAGCAGCAATGAAAAGAGAAGATAAATCTTTCTGCGACAGAAGAAATCAGATCATTGAAAAGTCCTTATTATATGCCAGCCCTCTGAACCAAGACTGTACCCAGTTTCGATTGCTAAACTGAAATGTTATGCACTCTCTATTGCCACACAGGGGTAGTTGGTGGCTTGTGGGAGAAGAATTTCCCTTGTAAGTTAATTAATTGCCTAAGGTGCTTAATTGTAGTAATACAAAGCTGACTAATACAATTATATATCACAAAATAAAATGGAAAAATGGAATCAAATTGGGCCTACAGAAAAGCCCAAAAACTCAAGAGTGACAATGAGCACCCATCTTAGCTCTTCCTGCAATGTGGGGAAAACTGGAGCATGCAGTGAAGAGTCTTCCTTGCTTCTCACCTATCCACCAGGTCCACCACAAATCCAGTTAATCATAGTTTTAATTTGCTACATTTTCTTCCAAAATGTCTTCATAAATTAAAAGACAAATATAAATTTGTTTCCCCAATTTTATACTGAAGGCACACACACACACACACACACACACACACACACACGCTCATCTCCTAGGGACCATTATTTAAATGTTAAAGGTTTTAATAATGTATTCCATTACAATTTATAGGTGCACCATAATATATTTAACCAGTTCTTTAGTGACAAATACTTGGGTTTTCCTTGTCTTTCCTTTCACAAAAAATATTACAATGAATGTCTTTGTACATTTGAAAGGTATGCAAGAAAGTCCACAGGATGAATTCCAATAATCAAAGAGTGCATGTACTTGTATTTTTAATAGATGTACTCAAATTTTTTATATACACATTACTAATTTGCACTTTTATCCACAGAATGTATGTGTGTCCATTGACTCACTGACTACCCAGTATACTGTAGTCTCAAATTTCTGGGATGTTGCCAATATAACAGGAAAAATTATTTCAGTTCAACCTCGGATGAACACCCTTTGATGAGTCTAATACCCATGGTGAAAGTTACCCAAAACTGCCCTCAATTTTCATACCAACTGCAAGTTCAGAACTGCCTAACATTCTCCATAGGTTCAATAACTAATAAGAAGCACTCTCAGAACTCACTGCACGCTGGTAGATTGTTATAATTTATCACAAGAAAAGGGTTCATGGGCCAGGGATTTAGCTCAGTGGTTTCGCCACCTGCTGCGCAAGTGCAAGGACCCGAGTTCGATCCCTGGTACCAAAAAAAAAAAAAAAAGAAAGAAAAGGGTTCCTATTGAGCTTGCCCATGGGAAGAAGTCTACAGGCCAGAGTTCAGGAGGGAGCCACACTGGAGCTTCCATTTGTCCTCACCCCGCATCAGGAAAGAGTTGCTTTTCAAGCATCAGTGTTGTATGATACACACAGAAGAATGTCAACCAGCACAGCTCATGGCATCCAGAGTCTTTATTGGGTTCCATGACTGACTGCCCCATGTGATTCTAGGTGGCTGATTCCAGTCGCCAGCTCTTCAGAGACTGAAAACTCATGACCAAAGCCCTCATCCTCACCTCATTCCTGGTGTGGCTTCATCCCCACCCTAAATCTTCTTGTGACTATCGAACTCACTCAGGACCCTCATTCTACATGACTACATTGTTTGTTTTGTTTTGTTTGTTTCTTTGTGTGGTACTGGGGATGAAACCAGGGGCACTCTCCCACTGAACTACATCCCCTATCTATTTTATATTTTGAGACAGAGCTTTTGTAAGTTGCCCAGGTGGAACTTGAACTTTCAATCATCCTAACCCAGGCTCCCAAAGTACTATAATTACAGGTGTTCACCACCAAACCCAGCTCTGGTTTTGCTTTTGTTAAGTGAAAGAAGCCAGACTCAGAAGTATCACATATTCTCCCTACCATGTGAAATCTAAAAATATTACCTGAAAATAGGAAGGAGATTATTACTAGATAGCAGGAAGGGAATGAGAAAGATGGGGAGAGGGTGCAAGGGGGGTTAGGGGGAATGGATTGATCAAAATATATTATCCAATATTTCTTGTATTTATAGGCTATCATAAAATACGTTTTAAATCAATAACATTGAAAAGTTTGGTCATCTGTTTTCAATTGAACACAATAGAAAATGTCCTTCAACATTAAAATTCATAAATGAGCAAACCACTAAAAAGATAAATTATTGTATGATAATTGAAAGAAAAGTTGAAAATTGTAGAAAAAAGTGAAAATTGCTATTGATGACAACCTACCTATAAAATCTAATAAAACAGACAGCCAAACTATAAGTATACAAATTTCCATAAATCTATGAATATAAAATAATTAGACTAATATGTTATCTCTCTACAGTTCTAAGAAATTTTGATTTAAAATTTATTTAAACAGGAAACAGATGATGAGATACATTAGTTTAAATACAAAACCATGCATTATCATTAGGAATAAATGTATAAAACATCACTAATAGTTATTAAAAACCAAAATGAAAGGAGAGTTATGATACATTCATTACAAATAACTAAAAAGTCATAAGGTTACTAGTTATCTCCACTTCATATAAAATTTCAAGTACATTTTAATGATGTATACACTGAAGTTTTCATGGAGCTTAAATTACTTCTATAATTGACTTTGGAGGTAACAGGGACAAGGACAGATCAATCTTGAGAACAAGATGGGAAACCACCTCCCAGGGCACACGATATATTCCAAAGCCATAGTGGTCCAGACAGTGAGGTATTGGTGAAGAAAACATGGACCAACGTGGAGCCACACATACAGACAACAGGTGTGTGACCATGACACTGCAAAGGATGAACAGTGTGTACAGAAGTCAGGAAATGCTGCTGCCATCATTGATACCTAAATGGAATAAAGTCAAAGTTTGAATTACACAATAAACAAATAAACTCCTGAAAGTTCACAAACATATAGATATAAAACAATGTTTTAAAAAAAGAAACAAATGGCAATTTCTTGATACGCTTGAGGGAAGATGGAGATTATACAAATTCTTCACAAATTCTTCCAAACAGGAAATAGAGGGGAGGGAAACATTGTTGAGTCTTGACAGGATATTCCACTGCTTCTACACTTGTTATTTGAGACTCTAACTTCTTTTGAGTATCTGGTGAGGAATTTCAGTAGTTCTTCTCTTCTTACTTTAACCAACCAGAAACTTCGAGTTCCTGCACACTGAGTCATTCTGTTTGTGATGACAGTAGTTTGGAATTTCACTGCTCACATCACCAAATTCTCCTCCGTAACTTTGTAAAGTATTGAGGTTTGTTGTTTTTTTTTCCTATTTGCTGATCAGTTCCTTAAAGACTAGAATCTCAGCTCTTTCGTGGATAGTTTTTATCCGATCCTCCAATAACCATTTATTGCCAACACTACTTTTCAAGTCTGATCTATGAATGTTAAGAGTAGGTTTTGCACTCAGACAGGTCTAGTGTCTGTCCCTGCCACTTGCTTGGTTCTGTCACTACCTTGAACAATGAGAACTGCCACAAAATGGACACATGTGTGACAAAACAGAGTTGATTCAAAGGGTCACTACAGCTGCCAGAGCAAGACCTCAAGCCTGGTTCGTTAGCCCACAGAGCCCCCTTCCCCATAACAGGGAGTCAGTCTTTATTTGTCTGTCTGTCTGTTTGTTTGTTTGAGGCAAGGTCTTCTTTTGCTCTCCAAGCTGGCCTTGAGTTTACTATGTAGCTCAGCATAGCCTTGAATTCACAGTGATCCTCCTGCCTCAGCCTCCCAAGTGCTGGGATTACAGGCATGCACCACCACACCTGGCTTGGAGTCAGCCTTTAGAAGAGACTTCAGGGACGGAAACTGCATGAGGACGAAGTTTTGGACGAGACACCTGTCCACAGAGCTTCAGTGCCTCTTCCCAAAGATGCCCATGCCCAGCAGCCTCTTGGCCACACCAGACTCATCCAGCCTTAGAGCCAGTTCTCCAGATGTTAAGAATGGCTTCTGCACATCTATATTGTTCCTGCATGTGTTTGGTTTTTCCATTGGAGACGACCTGTCAGTACAGGTAAAGCCAATCCTACACTCTGATTTTATCTTCTGGATTTCAAGAGCTGACAAGAGCCCTTGACATCTTCAAGCCCATATTAAGCACTGACAAGACCTTTCTCCAGGAGAACCCTTTGCAGGCCTCATGCTCTCCCCAAAGAAGAGAGTTCCCAGGGCTCCTCTAGGATTCCACATGAGAGCAGGAATCCTCCCCCAAGAGCAACTGAGCCTTCTCTTCTGCCATGGGGATGGAACCATTCTTATTCCCAGCATCCACCATTCTCATGTGGATATTAGCTCGTGTGCCTAAGATCATCAGCACCTAGGCAGCCTCACATGTGTCATGCTGCTGGCTTGTAGGCACTGCCTAATGACCTTCTTACTGGTTGAGGCTTAGCTCCAGGGTGGGGGTGGGGCTTCAAATTCCATCAATTTAAATTATTTGTGCTCTTTGTCACTGCCAATAATGGCCAAATAAAAGACCAAACATCCTAACTATATATTTACAGGTGAGTTGGCTTCCAGGTGAGTTGTACCATTTTAGTAGATCTGGTTTTCGTGACTATTGTCCTGCTATCTGTCAGAACCAACACCTTCCTAGGATCTCCTAAGCATCAGTATCAAACACCTTATCTTGGTGTTTGGTTCATCACGAAATACAAAGTCTACTTCCCCAAAAGAGCCTGTACCCCATGACAATTCCATACTTGACACAATGTAGTGAGAGGCTGCATTTCCCTCCCATTGAAAGTTTGAGAAAAGGTTGGCAAGGACTTGCCAATACAAAATGGGGACAGGCAGAAGTATTTACAGTCCCTCAGCTTCCCAACCACTTATTCCAACCTTAATCTCTCCTTTTTCCAAGGCTTACAGAATCAGCATGCAAAGCAATCAAAATGGGTGCCCATGGACTCTTCTTTCATTGTTGCTGAGATTGTTTCTCTGTGCTCTTTAGGGTAGGGCCAACCTAAATTCTTAACCACCTCCTCCTGGCCAGCTGTGGAAATTTATAAGCACTGATCCAAAATAAGTTAGAACCTCAGAGAAAGGAGGATCAAAAGTTTGAGCCAGGACTAGTAAAGGAGAGGAGAGGAGAGGAGGGGAGGGGAGAGGAGGGGAGAGGAGGGGAGGGGAG